TTCTGCTGTGCATGGGGTCGCTATGAGGCGATTCCGACTCGATGGCACCTGACAACAACAACAACATCTTAATCAAACATTCCTTTTTTTTTTTTAGTCTCTTTAATGTATCCTTTTCATTGTCCCAGTGGTGTTGCCTTATATTTTCTTCTTTTACTAGATTCTGAGTCCTCAAGAACAGGAACCATGTTCTAGTCATTATTGTTCTCATAACCTGCATGGGACCTGGCACCTAATGGGTATTGTGCAAGTATTTTTTGGATGAATGTATTCTTAAGTATTTAACATGTACCAATTTATAGTATGGGGGTTGTTTTGTTTTCCAGATACCTGAGAAAAAACAAGATGTTGGGAAATTTGTTGAACTTCCTGGTGCAGAGATGGGGAAGGTTACTGTCAGATTTCCTCCAGAGGCTAGTGGGTAAGAAAATGTAATTAAAGTTGAATATATTTAGTGGGAAGGATTTAAAGAAGTTATTACATACTTTTAATATTAATAGATTAATGATACAGAAGAAAATAAGTGCGATAATGATTGATTGTAGGAGTTAAAACCCTAAACATTAATTTCTTTGTTGTTAAGTGCCGATGAGTAGGTTCTGACTCACAGTGGACTCTGTGTAAGAGTGGCTGTTGGGTTTCAGTCACTGAGTTTGTAGTTAGTTGTTGTTGTTAAGTGCTGTCAAGTTGGTTCTGACCCATAGCGAACCTGTATAGGTTTTCCAAGGAGCAGCTGGTGAGCTTGAACTGCCCACCTTAAGGTTCAACACACCAGGACTACACAGTACCACACTAGGACTAAACAGTAGTTTATTTAATATTGACAGTCTCGATATTAAATATATTCGTCTATTAAATTTGTAGTTTTCATTCACTAAAAGCAGTAGAGGTTTTTTTACCTAGACAGAATTTGGTGAGTTGGGTGGCTCTATATAAGTGCTGGACTGTGAATCACAAATCCATGGTTCAAAGCTACCAGCCTTTCTGTAGGAGAAAGATGAGGCTTTCTGCTCCTATAAAAATTTAAAAGCCTCAAAAACCCTAAACAGGATTGCTATAAGTTGGAATTGACACAGAGGCACTTAATAATAACAACAATCAGAATTTAAAATATATATAGGAAAAAACTCATAAATAGGCTTAAATTTTATTTGACTTTAGAGATTTTTTTTTTCAGTCTTCATTTATTAAGAATTTATACTCTGAGCAATCTTTAATTTGTAACAAAACTTATAATAGAATTATTTTACGTTACTTTTTCCCAAAGAAAAGCAAGGAGTCCTGAAAAGCCCATTTCTCGTTCAGTTCTTTCCACTATTAGCAGATTTCCTCACTCATTTCATTCCTGACAACCTTAGATAATCGTATTTGATTAGCTCATTAGAAAAAAGGTTGTTGGTGGAGGGACTAGCATGTGACTACCCCACACTGTGCCTAGCATTCCCCAAGGTGGAGTGGGTTCTCTCTCTTTGCACTCTTCCCATATGCTTGATAATAGAGCCCTTCCAATAACATGATTAATGTAATCAAATGCTTCATTAAAGCCCTTAGCCTCATCTATGACCTAGTAAACTATCGTATTTTGCAAATGAGCTGGTTATTTTTTTCCAAATTCAGTTTAATTTCAGATTTTGTGTTATATAGCCAAATTCTTACCCATTGATAAAAATGGAATATATAAGCAATAGAAACAGAGTAGGGAACAATTTCACTTTGGCTGTGTATTTAATAGGAGTCCTGGTATGGTGCTGTGGGTTAATGTGATAGACTGCTTAGTTGGTTTGAACTGCAAAGTCGGTGGTTTAAGCTCACTAGCCGCTCCTTGGAAACCCTGTACAGGGTTGCTATGAGTCAAAACTGACTCGACAGGACTTAACAACAACAATGTATTTAATAGTTCTTCGCTAACTATTTCATGAGCACCGTTAACAGCAAAATCAATTTTAGAATTCCATCATTTCTCTGAATTTATAAGTTTGCTGATACAGGTGGTGAAACAGGGAAGGTAGGAGGAGGAGTTGGAAGAGAAATACAGGCAAACTTGGGAGATATTATTATGAGTTCGGTTCCAGACATCCCCAGTAAAGCGAGTCACGAAGTTTGATATCTCAGTACATATAAAAGTTATAGTCATACTATACTGTAAATCTATTAAATATGCAATAGAATTATGAAAAAAAAAAAAGCTTGAAATACTGTGAGAATTAGCAAAATGTGATAAGGCATAAAGTGGTGATCACCTGCTAGTGGAAAGATGGTGCCAATAAGCATGCTTGCTATAGTGTTGCCACAGATCTTCAATTTGTAAAGAATGCAATATCTGCAAAGCACAGTACAGTGAAGCACAATCAAATGAAGTATGCTTATAATGCCTGGGAATTTCACAAGTTTGATCATTAAATGATTGGTAGTTGACTAGGCGAAATGCATTAATAAATAATGCTTGTCTTACATGGTTAATTGTCACACACATTTTGGGACCTCAGCTTGAGAACTATGTTGGGTAAGGTGGAGGGTCAGAGAAAAAGAGGAAGACCCCCAGCAAGATGGATTGACCAAGTGGCAGCATCGATGGACTCAAGTGTGGTTACAGTAGTAGTGAGGTTGGCCCAGGATCGGGCAGTGTTTTCATTCTGCTGTGCATAAGGTTACTATGGGTCGGTACTGACTCAGTGGCACCTAACAACAACTGGCTAATTGATGCTGTGGGCTAATGCGTCAGACTGCAAAATCATTTGAACTGCATGGTCAGTGGTTCAGGCTCACCAGCTGCTCCTTGGAAACCCTATATAGACTCGCTATGAATTGGAATCGACTCGACGGCACATACCAACAACAACTGGCTAATGCTCTATACACTTGATATAGAGGCCTTGGTGGTCCCATTGTGTTGTGATCTTGATGGCATGCTGAAACCCACTTTTTAGTTGTTGCAGTATATAGCTGTACCATTGAAACATTTGTCCTTTTTGAATCATTTTATATTTTTTGTCACTGTGATTTTGGAATAGTGAGTGCTTAGATTTATATTTATTATTTATTATTTGGGGTCTTCGTGTGGTGCCATAGTGTATGCACTTGGCTGCTAATCACAAGGTCGGCAGTTCAAACCCACCAAGCTGCTCCTCAGAAACCCTATACAGGGTCACTAGAGTAGGAACTGACTCTACAGCACTTAACAACAAGATATTTATTATTTAATGTGTAAAATGTGTTACTCTATTCTAAAACATATCTGCTGTTAGTTATGTTGATATTTAAGATTATGCTCTAAACCTACTACAGCTTTGGGATTTGAAATATAAATCAGTGTTCAGTTTTTCTTAACATAATTTTGATTATATCCTCATAATACTATAAAGTGCTTTAATGATTACGAAAAAAATAACCTCTTACACCCCTAAAAGTTCTTTAATGATCCTTAAAGAATTATTTTTTTCTGTGTTTTACATAGAAGCTCAGAAGACTTAACTTTGACTTTTGTGCTTTGTTCTTAACTGGTATGGTGCTGTAGGCTAAGCACTGGATTGCTAACCACAAGGTCAACAGTTCAAACCCAGCTACTCCTTGTAAACCCTATACAGGGTTGATATGAGTCAGAACTGAGTCAACGGCTCTTAACAACAACATGTATCTATAGCATCTGCTATGTGCAGGCACTACCAAGTGCTTTATGTAGAGAAACTCATTTAACCTTACTGGTCAGATTAAATTAAAGGTGAGAAAAAGCACTGTTATTTCCATTTTACCAATTAATGAAGTCTGATAAAATATTACTGAGTTTAGTTAATAATAATAAATAAATACTGTATTTGGTTCATTGTTGTTAAGTACCTTTGAGTCGGTTCCGACTCATAGCGACACTGTATAGGGTTTCCGATGAGTAGCTGCTGAGCTTGAACTGCAGATCTTGCGATTCAAACCGACTTTGCAGTCCAGCACATTAACCCACAGCGCCACACCAGGACTTGTGACAGATGTGTAAGATAAGATATTGGAACTTTCTCTATTATGTTTAGACCTTTTCTGGGAATCTAAAACTATTCTCAAATAAAAAGTTTAGTAAGACTAAAATAAGCTCTGTAAGTTCCCGGGCTTGGGAGAAAGGCACTGCTGTCTCCATTACACTTGTAATATTTAAAAATTTCTGTCAGGGTCAGACATTCTCTCATACTATCGTCTGTTAGAAAACCAATTGAAAAGATTTTTGTTTCATTTTCATCTCGTCAAAAGAGTTACGTTTAAGAATTTAGTTAAAGCATATTAATGAATTTCTTTGTGAAATGTTTTTGTTTTAGGTACTTACACATTGGGCACGCAAAAGCTGCTTTGCTGAACCAGCACTATCAGGTTAACTTTAAAGGGAAACTCATCATGAGATTTGATGACACAAATCCAGAAAAAGAAAAGGAAGATTTTGAGAAGGTAATTAAAAGTGTAGTAATGACCCCTTGTCAGAAAAGTAAATAAAAATTAGAGGGTGACTGATAACCTTTATGGTATGAACATAAATTTGTTCTTCTAACTGCTTTTCCTCATCTGTATCCAGGTATCCCGGCTTTTCTAAAGTTTGCTTTTTGTCATGTTGACTTTCTGGAAGACTTACGTTAGTACCTGCTTTCACTAACCAAAACAAATCCAAAGAAGATCTTCACTTTCATGTCAGAAGTCAAAAGCAAAACTAGTGTTCAGCGTTTGCTTTGCAGCAAGCTGTTAAGGAGGCAGCACGCACCTTGAGCAGCAAGAGTGGCGTAGTCAAGTGCTTTCTCCGGGAACTACTCAGTATCTCAGCACAAGCTTTCGTAGCTTTAAACTATATCTCTGAACACTGTATGTTAGTGTGTTTTTTTGGTTTTATGTGTTTGGTATGATTTGACAGGTATTTTTGGGGGGTCTGGGAACACTTAAAAATATTCCCATACAAATAAATTGTAATTGCTTCTTCAATTTTATTGGAACACTCTACTTTCAAATAGTAGGGGAAAACCTGTGTTCCATATCTAGATCTAAGCCAAGAAATATGAATCCCATACTAAAAAATTCAAAATTTTTTCTCCTCCCTAATTATTCTAAAATATTTGTAAGTGGTGTGTTTTCATGTAAGTACCAGTTTCTTAAATGAATGGATCACTCAAGGCAAGTTTTTTTCTTGTCATAAAATTTTAAATTTATGGATAAAACTAAATAGGTGTTGGAAAATAAAGGCATCATAGCCTCTTGTAATCATTTTTATTCAGAAGCACTCAGTATATTGAAAAGAGGGCAAATAGTTGTCAGTGAGACTAGTAATAACCAGCTTCTCGTGAGTTAATGAACAGCTTTGTGATACCAGCTTTCTCAGTTGGATTTGTTGAGTTATAGCTATCATTTTTTCTTTTCTGATCCTCTTTAAATCCATTTCTCTTTTTCTTATAATTTACACCTTAAGAAGAAGGAAAATGGAGCCCATCTCCTATTATGGCCAACACCATACAAGTGTCACACCTATTTTCAGGCTGTATAAGACATGGTGGTGTATTTTCACACTTTCCCAAATGTAATATCAAGGATTGAAACTGCGCAAGAAAATGCCGAATGTAAAATGATGGTTATTTTGGATCTTATTACAGGTTATTTTGGAGGATGTTGCAATGTTACATATCAAACCAGATCAATTTACTTACACCTCAGATCATTTTGAAATAATAATGAAATATGCAGAGAAGCTAATTCAAGAAGGAAAGGCTTATGTGGATGATACCCCTGCTGAGCAGATGAAAGTGGAACGGGAACAGAGGATAGAATCCAAACACAGAAACAACTGTAAGGCAAATTTAGTGCTTTATGTTTTAACTGATATTTTTGTATTCTGCTTCTTTATAGAGCATGATACCTTTTCTTTGAAAGATACTTGTTCAGAACACACTTTTGAATATGATTGATATATTCGTTTATTTCTTAGAAATCTTTTCCCTTTCTTTCATCTTTAAATTCTTTTGTATTGCATTCATTCCATTGGAATAATCCCTTCTACAACACTTTGTCATTTTATCATCTACTTAGCCTTTCTAAAATGTTTGATGATAATGATATTAGCATCTAAGCATTCCTGTAAATAAATGTAGATGTGAATGCAATGAGCTTGGTACTTCCCTGTATGTGAAATATTACCCGACAAAGAAGCCTGTCTTTCTTATTTATGACCTGTCCCTGAGCTTCTCATTTGGGCATTTTCCATTCTGTCATTGTGTTTCCAGAACCTCTACTCTATTGTATTTCAATCTTGAGAACCACAGTGGGAACTATAGAGACTCATGGTTTAATAGCTTATCCATATGGGGCAGATATTTGATATTCTGACATAGGCAAAGATTATTGTATACCATTGAATCGGTTCTAACTCATAGTGACCCTATAGTTAGTACCATGTTGTTAAGTGCTGTTGAGTTAGTTCTAACCCATAGTGTCCCTCTTGAGCTTGAACCTCCAAAATTGTGGTTCAAACTGACTTTGTAGTCCAACACATTATCCCACAGCGCCACACCAGGACTCCTATAGGACCATTTTTTGTTGTTGTTGTTAAGTGCCATCAAGTCAGTTCCCACCCATAGCGACTCTATATAGGGTTTCCGAGGAGCAGCTGGTGAGTTTGAACCACCGACTTTGCAATTCAAACGGCTTTGCAGTCTGGCACATTAACCCACAGCGCCCACACCAGGAATAGTTACATGGAATATAGAGTTCTTTTTTTTTTTTGGATTAAATTCTTTTTTTTCTTGTATTAATATCTATTTTGTCTCATTCTATTTTCTTACTCCATGGAATGCTTCTCATTGGAATGCTTGGAGGGTCTTCCAGGAACCCCACAGGCTCTTACTCTCAGTCCAAGCCATATTCTTCAGATGGGAACGGGTGCAGCGCCATTGCCCTGGGGATTCATGGCCTGGGCCAGACTGACATGCCACTGGACGTGAAGTGACATAGAAAGAGAATGCTTCTGCTTCAAAGACACATTTAAATTTAAGAGTGGGAAAAAGGGAAGATAGCAGCTAGCTAGGTGTGTCTTTGTGGAAAAAGGAGAAACAGTGAATAAGAGGAACCTTCAGGCCATTTGCTTCCTTTCTTCCCCTCAATATTGTTTCAGTGAGATATAGTGACTTTGAGCTCTTTTGTGACGCTGTAGAATAAGCATTAGACTACTAACTGCTAAGTCGACAATTCAAACCCATAAGCTACTTATGGGTTGGAAAAGACTAAACAGCGCACAGCAACACCATAGTAACTTTATTCTTTCTTAAGTAGATTTATAGAGTGCATTTCCTGAATGTACTAGGAGACTATTTTTCAGTAAAATTGTTGCATTTACCCTTGGTATCAGATATTGAACGTATTTCCACATTTTTAAACTAATGGAGTTTAAAAACAGGACTTAATTTGAATTGAATCACATTACTGTATGTTAAATAAACTGCGATCTAACTACTGTTTTATAGCTATTGAGAAGAATCTACAAATGTGGGAAGAAATGAAAAAAGGAAGTCAATTTGGACAGTCCTGTTGTTTGCGAGCAAAAATTGACATGAGTAGTAACAATGGTTGCATGAGAGACCCAGCCCTTTATCGCTGCAAAATCCAACCACACCCCAGAACTGGAAGTAAATACAAGTAAGTGTTTCAATATGGTGCTTGGCCTTTGAATGCTTTTGCTTCTCTTACAATTCGATCTTTATTTGTCTTTGGAGATTGCAAGCATTACACATAATTTTACAGATACAAAGAAATTACACAAATCATAAATATTCACTTCAACAAGGAAGAAGAGTTGGATGACATTGGTGACATATGTCAGTTGTGGTAACAGCTCCATGGTGGAAGGGCTGGGAACATCCTAGATCATCCCTGGAAATGGGGATAGTTTTCTAGTAAGAAAATTAGTGAGAGTTGTCCATATTGTACTTTTCTTTTTTCTTTATATATTTTGCTTTAATCCTGAATCTGCCTATTGATTTTAGCAAAGTAAATTGTAAAATTCAACATCTGAGAATGATAAACTTCAGCAAATTATGTACTGCAGCATTACAGGTAGTACATATCACTAGTGGTTGTTGTTGTTGTTCTTAAGCGCCGTCGAGTCGGATCCGACCGATAGCGACCCTACTATACAGGGTTTCCGAGGAGCAACTGGTCAGCTTGAACTGCCGACCTTTGCAGTCTGGGACATTAACCCACAGCGCCACACCAGGACTCCATTACTAATGATAGGCTGTACCAAATAATCCAAAACCAAAAAATAGACAGGTGGAAGTGCGGTTCAACTCAAATATGTTGTAAATCGAAATTACCTGTATTTCTAAGATCACTTTCATCTGTAAGGCTAATAGAAATAAGCTTAAGAAATATGAAAAATACTAGAAAGTGTATGTATTTGGTAATTTTAAGCATTTGTTTTCAGATTAGTAACTTAGAAAAAAAAGTAGTTCCCTCTGCAATAGCTTATTTTATAAAATAAAATGTGGTGGGTACGCCACTGAGTTAGTTCCAACTCATAGCAACCCTGTATAAGGTTTCTGTGGTTAATAGATCTTCGTGGAAGCAGAAAGCCTCATCTTTCTCCCATGAAGTGACTGGTAGATTCCAGCTGCTAACCTTGCGATTAAAAGCTCAGCTCAGTCTACTATGGTACCAAAACTCCTTAAAGTAAATCATAGAATATATGTTTTTATAGTATGAAGAAGTCTACTGCATGCTGCATTTATCTCCAAAAAAGATATTGGTGAATGTAAGTGATTACCTAGTTATCTAGTATGAGTGTTTTTAAACTTGGGATAGGGATTTGTAGGTCCATATAGAGACAAACACATGTATGAGGTTGTGCATGTACATCTATACCCATTCCTCTTATCAGGATAATTATGCCCTGTTTTATTAAACAAATACTTTAATACATTTGGAAAAGTAAGTGTGTGTACACATTTTCAGCATCAATTTGAAAAGCATAATGGCAGAGACATCTTAATAAAAGATTCTCAAAATTAGAAGGCATGTTGTTGTCATTGTTAGGAGTCAATTGAGAAGGTATAGTACTATAATACATATTTTTAAAAATTTAAACGACAGCTATGTATATGTATGTGCATTACTTTAGGCAGACATTTTAAAAAGACAATTCTGAAGATGGAGTGTGAACCTATTAATTGTCTTTTCTCTGGTAGTGTAGTAGATTACGAGTTAGGCTGCTAACCGTAAGATCAGCAGTTCAAAGCTACTAGCTGCTCTGCTGGAGAAAGATGAGGCTTCTGCTCCCATAAAGACTTACAGCCTCAGAAACCCTGTATAGGGTCGCTTTGAGTCAGAATATAGTCAGTGGCACTTAGAAAACAAAAACACTTTGTTCTTAAATGCATTTAAATCCAGTGTTAAAGCCTTTGTCAAAGTGAAGGGTTATCGAAGAAATTAAAAAACTAAGCTTGTTATGTATAATACATTTGTATATATGTAAACAAACCAAATCTACTGCCTTTGAGTAGATTCCTACTCATAGCAACCCTACATAGGGTTTCTGAGATTATAAATCTTCATGGAAACACACAGCCTCATCTTTCTCCTTAGGCGAAGCTGGTGGGGATGAACTGCTGTCTTGTTAGCAGTTTGTTTATCCTAAAGCAACACCAGGGCGCGCTCTCTATTGCTTCTTAGCAGTACATATGTAGTGTTACAGAAATATTCTGAATGCAGAATTTGCTAAACCTGTGCACTGTTGTTTATTAGATTGCAAATGTACTCTTTTTGTTTGAATGCTGACTGGACAACTGTTTCATTAATCTCAAAGGCTGATGTAAAATGGTGAGGTGAAGTGTTGCATGCTCATTTTCAATTTTTTTTTTTTTTCCCTAGTATTTACCCAACATATGACTTTGCCTGCCCTATAGTGGATAGCATTGAAGGGGTTACACATGCCCTCAGAACAACAGAATACCATGACAGAGATGAACAGTTCTACTGGATTATTGAAGCTTTGGGCATAAGAAAACCATATATTTGGGAGTACAGTCGGCTAAATCTCAACAATACGGTGTTGTCTAAAAGAAAACTCACGTGGTTTGTCAATGAAGGACTAGTAGATGGATGGTATGTTCATTGTTGCATTGAATTGATGGAAGGAAGACTCTGAGAGACTCACAAATGGCTCTCAGTACTGGGGAGAGTGGTTGTGGGGAGGAAGATCTAGTTCCGAGTCTCTCACTTTATTGTAACTTGTGCATTAGGTGTTCCCCTGTGCTCCCACACTACAAACATGGTATGTCTGTTGTGGGCCAGGGCATTCAGGAATGGAAAGCACACATGAGGACACATTGTCTGCTCATCACAGCATTTCATAGAAAGTGGCTGTGGTTTTCTGGTTCCTCCTTAGTTAGATCTGTTCACTCTACTCTTGGTTGAAGCTCTGAGCTTTGTTTTTTGTACCTGAGTTCCAGGAAGACCTACAAACCCGGAGATTAGGTGAGGCCTTAAATGGTTTATGCCATACATATGGAGAGGATTCAGTATCCAGAAAGGGTTTGAAAACCTTTCTGGCCTATTAATAGCATATATAAGATATTTTGTAAGTATAAAAATGGGAGTGACCTTATAGTCACATGTCTGTCTGTGTACATGAAGTGTTATCTGTTAAGATTGGTTACAATGTTTGTAATTCTAAAATAATTTTTTAAAAATCTGAGCTAATAGCAAGAATGTATATACTAGTTTATTTACATCATATAATAGTGACTATGGGTCGAATATGTTGAATAAATAGTGTGAATTTTATGCTGTTTTACTGTATAGCTGAATTTGATAAGCAAGTTTATCTTCTGCTCTGTACCAGTGTAGTTGTTGAAATTGATAAAATTTCTGAAGAATATTAATAACTTATGTACATGTATTTTTTTTTTAGTGTTTTATTGTGAATTATGTGATAGTTTACTTGGGAGAACATTAGCTTTACATTCATCCTATCGTATATAATTTCATTGCTATGGTTACAGTCCCCTTCATGCATCGTCAATCAACCACAGGATATATATTCCCTGCAAGACTGCCATCCCTGGTCATCAGCACACAGCTCCTCTCCCTCTCTGGGTCTAAAGTCCCCAGCTGCTTCGTCTCTCCATGTCATCATCTCTGCCTCCATCTCTGGCGTTGGTTGGGAGTTTTTTAATGACCTGATCAATTTCTTCTTTTGTATGGGTTTGTTCAAGTTTTCTACTTTATTCTGAGTAAGTTTAGGTAGGTTATGTTTTTCTAGAAATATATCCATCTCTTCTAAGTTTTCAAATTTGTTGGAATACAGCTCTTCATAGTATTATGTTATTATCCTTTTGATTTCTTTTGGTTCCTTTGTGACATCGCCCATGTGGTTTCTAATGCGAGTTATTTGTGTCCTCTCCCTCTTTTCTTTTGTTTTGCCAGTGGTTTGCCAATTTTATTAATCCTTTCAAAGAACTAGCTTCTTGTCCTGTTGATTCTTTCTATGTTTTTTGGATTTCTATCTCATTTATTTCTGCTCTTATCTTTATTATTTCCTGTCTTTAGTGACTGTAGGTTCCCTCTGCTGGTCTGCTTCTAATTGTTTGAGATGCTGTGTTAATGTGTTAATTTTATTTCTTTCCTCTTTGGATGTGTGCATTTATTGCAATAAATTGTCCTCTCAGCATTGCTTTTGCCGTGTCCCAAAGATTTTGGTATGTTGTGTATTCCTTCTCGTTTGTTTCTAGGAACTTTGTGCATTGCTGTGTAATTTCTTCATTGACTTAGTCACTTTTCAGCAGGGTGTTGTTCAGTTTCCATGTGTTTGACTTGATTTCCTTGGTCTTCTTATTGTTGAGTTCCAATTTTATAGCATTGTGGTCTGAGAAGATGTTCTGTAGAATTTTGATGTTTGTAAATTTATGGAGGCTGGCTTTGTGACCTAACACATGGTCAGTTCTGGAAAATGTTCCATGCACACTGGAGAAGAATGTACATTATGCTGTTGTTGGATTGAATGCCCTATATACATCTATGAGGTCAAGTTGGTTGATTGTGTAGTTTAGTTCCTGTCTTACGTTGTAAAGTTTCTTTCTGGTTATTGTCCCTTTTCGAAAGTGGCGTGTTAAAATCTCCCACTATAATTGTAGGTTGATCTATTTCTTTCTTTAATTCTAGTAATCTTTGCTTCATGTATCTTGGTGCTCTTTCATTTGGAGCATGGATATTTATTATGGTTATGTCATCTTGCTCAGTTGACCTTTTGATCATGAGTTAGTGTCCTTCTTTGTATCTTATGCTGGTTTTTATCTTAAAGTTTACTTTGTCAGAGATTAATATTGCCACTCCTGTTTGTTTATTGTTGCAGTTAGCTTGGTAAATTTCTCTCCATCCTTTAACTTTTAGTCTGTTTTTTTCTTTGTGTACAGGCAGCATATTGAAGGGTCTTGTTTTCTTATCCATTCTGCCACTCTCTGTCTCTTCACTGGTTCATTCAGTCTTTTGACATTTAATGTAATTATGTTTAGGTGGACTATTATGGGGAATGCTTATAGCTTGGCTATATGGCCACGATTGCTGTCTCTTCTTGGGTAATGTAGGGAGAAAAAGCTTCCATCTCCAGGAAAGATGTGTGATCAAGAAGACCAAAAGCAGAAGTAATATAAATGCAGACACAAAACCCACCACTTTGGAACAAAAGTAAAGCTGTGGTTGACTGTCCTGAGCTACACAGGCAATGTGTATGCAAGGTAGAAGCTTCTAGCAGTGGATGAGGATGTCTGCTTGCTCAGGCCCCCCCTCCTCTAGTCGCTATAATAGAGGTGTGCAGGTAGATATTGAGAAGTTAATGGGCGAAAGATTGTCCACTATTTTTGTCTCTGAAGGTCATTTAGGTATCTGTGTGTGCACAGCGCAATTCTCGAGATGGTTGAGTCCTTTTTATGTTGGGGTTTACAGATTGCTTTATAAGGGTCCTACGCAGAGAGCTCAGGTAGTGCTGCGACCACAAATGGGGTCACGAACCACAAGATCAGCAGCTCGAAACCACCAGCCACACCACAGGAGAAAGGCGGGGCACTCCGTTCCTGCAAAGACCCACAACCCCAGAACCCCCGCGCAGGGTTGCTTGGAGTTGGAATGGACTGCACAGTACACAGCCACTACGGGTTCTGCATGAGAAACTTTTAGGGCTGTGTGTCCGCAGCTGATGTAATAAGTAGCCGCCAAACTCCCTCTCTCTCTCTACCATGGGAAAACTGTCCTGCCTGAATGTGTCTGGACTGAGCAAAGAAGGCACAACAGGGGAACAGGAGGAAGAAATGTGTAGTCTCCCGCGCCTTTTTTTTTTTTTTTTTTTTGCAAATATCTCTGTGCCGCTTCCGGTTTTCTGAGCCAGACTGCCTGTAGCCCCACCCTCTAAACTCTGCCAGGGTAGGGTGCCTAACTCGCAGAATTTTCCTTAATATCCTGATTCTTCACTTGCGAGTGTGGGAAACTGATGTCCAGGACCTTATGGTAGATCTGGAGCTCTGGAGTTGTTCTGTGAAAGCTTCTTGTGTGAGATCCCCATCCCTCTCTCTATCACGGAGACTTCCCTAGCTGGTTTTCGCTACTGTCACCCCCACATGTTTTTTTTTTTTTTAACAACTAATGACACCAGTGATACCATCTCTTAACTGATCCTAAATGTTTCATAACAAGCAAATGGTGCTGGTTGCATACCATCAAGTTGATTCCGACTCATAGCATCCCTGTACAGGGTTTCTGAGGCTGTAAATCTCTGTGGGAGCAGAACGCCTCATTTTTCTCCTGCAGAACACCTGGTAAGTTTAAACTACTGATCTTGCAGTTAGCAGTCCAAACTTGTAACCCACCACACTCCCAAGCTAGTAAGAATGTATTAATGGATGGACTTTTTCTATATTTGACGATATCACTAGTGTGTTCTTTTTCAAATGTGCATTTTCTGTTTCCAGCAGTGTGCTTATTCACGACACATTATTTGACTAGTGAACAGCTCCTCTTTGAAATATTTAAAAAGCTGTATTTGTTTATTAATAAAGGTGTTTGTACTCTGCATCTACACACACACACACACACACACACACACAATCTTCTTGGTATTAAGATTTGGCATATTTCCAGGGATGACCCAAGATTTCCTACAGTACGTGGTGTACTGAGAAGAGGGATGACAGTTGAGGGACTGAAACAGTTTATTGCTGCTCAGGTAAGTTATGGTTTCTTCACCAATATCTCTGGTTGAGTGTTTACTGCAGTACTTTTTAGGAAGTATGGTGACTCTGTAGGTCAGGCATTGGACTGTGACCCTTAAAGTTGGCAGTTCGAGCCCATGGTCACTCCATAATGAGGCTTTCTGCTCCCACAAATATTTATAGTCTCAGAAACTCTAAAGCCTGGAAACGGCTTGGTAGCACTTAACAGCAACAACAGTTGATGTCCTTTTAGTCTTTATTATTTCTTGTTCTCTTTCTATCCCTTGTTTATTCCTTATAATGCAAAGGCAAAATTAAAAGTATTATGTAACACTGTTTACAGTTGTGGAAAATTAAAAATATCCTAAGTTGTTGGACAAACCCAGCTACAGTATTTTTTATTCAGTAAATTAGGTTCAAAACAAAACAGCAACACAAAACCTCAGTAGTAGGGTAACCAGATTAGTTTGTATACACTAATCTTTTATTTTAATGAAAGATACTTGCAAGCATATATATATATTTTATTGTTTCATTGTTAATAAAAAGTAAGTTCTAATGACTACTTCTTGCCCATTAACTCATTTTTTAATGTTTTTCTAGGGCTCTTCACGGTCAGTTGTGAATATGGAATGGGACAAAATCTGGGCATTTAATAAAAAGGTATACATTTTACCTCTCAGTTCTGTTTTCTCGTGCTGAGCTTTTGAAGAATATAATACATGTAGGATTCATTTGTGTGCTCCTAGTAGACAAAAATTTGTGAAGAATATTTGCATACTTTCAGGAAAATGGAATGTTTTCCTTTTAAAAATATATTAAAAATATTAAGCCTATTAATGATCCAAAACAAGTAACAATGATTAAAACAAAGTTGGAGTTATGGGGAATGGTAATAGTTTTTTCCTTCAATCTTTATGAACACTCTGCATTTCATTTTTCTGCTTTCAAGCTGCGAGCTCTCTGTAAGAAGGTATTACTTAATGCTTTTATTTGCCGTAGTGCACAGCTTTTAGCATATTACATGTTATATATAGTTTGACATGATAAACAGCTTTGAAGCACAATCACATTTATATAAAAGAAAAGAATTGCTTGTACAAACGCACTGGAAATGCATTATTCCTAGTTTCAAAAAACATGTCCTCTAGTTTTTTAGTGACAAAGGGAAGATCTGGTTAACTCCATTCTGCTATTCCCTTGTGTATGGAGAGGACATAGAATTTTATTATTATCTATTTCATTGAGTTGTATTGTAGGTTCATTCATTACAATTTCTGTGCCTCTATTGAATCGCAGCTCTTTTTTCTTTTAACTGATTCTTAACTGAACTCAGATGAGGAATATTGCATATTGATCTTGTTAATTACTAATTGGAAGCAGATGCTTATACACTATAATAAGGCAAACCATAAAAATGCCAAGTTTTAAACTATGGTTTCTGTGATTGTGTTCTGTAATTTTTTTTTTTTTTGATTGCTGCTTGATTGTGCTGAAGTAGTTGCTTGTGTTTTGCATGCATCTTGAATTTCTTTTCTCTTGTGTTTAGTCAGCGTTTCAGTATATACAGGAGTTACTAATTGGTTCTTTCTGTTGCTGCCGTTACTACTAATACATAATAGTACAATTTACATCAGTATACTTTTCTTTAATAATTCAATTTTCAGAGGTTTTCACTTTTAATACGTTAAATACATGAGATGCGTTCCCTTATATTTAAATAGCTTTGTAGGGTTTGTGGAGATGAAAGGCACATTTCCCTGTCCTTTTCAGGGCTTCCCTCCCCCATTTTTCTTCCCCTAGAGAAAGCATTTCATTCAGCTTTTAGACATTTGTTGTTGGTACGTGCTGGCAAGTTGGTTCCAACATGTCATTTGATTTATTGGCTGCTACTTCCATGAGTGTTGAATGCTGTTTCAATTTGTGTCCCATTTTCCTTCTGGCTGTTTCTTTTCTCGATGTTAGAGACAATTCTCAGATGTCTGGTTAACTTGGCTATCTGCTCATGCTTACTATGGAATACTAAAAGGGATTGGAAGCCATGCCAAGAGGTGGACTTGTCCAATGAACTTGATCATAATCATGGCTTGACCAGTTAGTTGGACAGACTCATGTCAGTAACTTTGATTCTTATCTTTTGAATCAGTTTCCTCTGAAAAAGTTTCTTTCATTCACCTGCCTAGATACAAAGTCCTGGCTACCATGACTATTGAAGCCATGCAGGGGAAGACCACTGAGGGCCTTACATGTTATATATAGTTACTAACCACACATTCTCTTAATCACCCTGTTTTCAGTGCAGTACTTTCTCTTCAAATATTTTGTGGTGTCTTCCAGGATCTAGGTATGTTCTCTTCATAAAGTAAATTTCCCTTCTTCTGCAAGGAGGGAAAAGGCAGATGTCTGGTTGTGTGGATTGGGAAAGATGATACTTTTTAAGAAAACTCAACCATTCTTTGGCTATTTCCATTTATCTCCTGTACAGCTATCTTGCACTGCCAATTTGTCTCTTAATGACTTTTCTAGTAGAAAAAAAGTTGCAGTTGTTTCTTGCCTTTGTGCATAATTAATTTAGTGTTTTATTTCTTTAACTTGCTAAGTTACTACTCTTCTCTGTGTTGTTTTTCAGCTACTATCCCCTCTCCTGTTCTTCTAATCTTTTTGGGTTTATTCCTTTAAACAAAACACTATCCTTCATGTCTGTTTTTATGGGCTTTGGGAGGGAGTGAGAGTAGATGAGACTCTCAAGTTTTCCTAAAGTCTTTATTTTACCACATAATACATTCTATAAGTAAAGATTTCTCTAAAGACATGATATTCATTAAATACCATCATAAAAACATAGTCCATAAAAGCAATATATAATTTTAGTTGATAGTGAACTATAAAATCATTCTGATCATATACTTTTTTGATTTCGTTACTGGCCTTCACTATACCCTCCTATACTGAAACACATCCTTGACTTGATTTCAAGTTCATGTTACTTACAATCTATTAGAAAAGATATTTTCTAGTTTTTCTAGATTGCTCAGTCTTTCTTTACAAGCTCTGCAAGTAAAATTTAAATGCAGCAGGAGTGTATTAAATTGAAAACTCTAGTGTTGTAAAATGAGCATTCGGTATGGAGCTGAAACAGCATTCTTTAGATGTTCTCTTGCTCTTTGTAACTTAGCATTTTAAAAAACAACTTCTGATACAGAAATTAGTTGGAGTTCTTTAATTACGTACGTCTTTGGAGAAATCTTTACTTATAGAATGTATTATGTTGTAAAATAAAGACAGGAGGATGAAGGGGAAAATGAGATGTAGAGTGGCAAGTAATCTCAGTACCCCCAGAAAAGAGAATCCTTGTTTTCTTCAGCTTTATTTTTCAACTTGACCTAAAGCGAATAATGTAATTTTTCTGTATCATAAATAAATGGAATATATCTATGTCTCTAGAAAGGCACTTCCTTTGATGCTGGCAAGAAACAGTTCAAAAGTTGAGCCTGCATTAACTTCATTGCCCTATTTTTCTTTCTGTAAGATTCACGCTTCTTAGTCGAGGCAGGAGAAATCACAGCCTTAAGGTGTTCACTTCAGAGTTATTTCATGCTTTGTGAGAATTAAAACTTTACTGTTTAATTTTCAGATTTATCTTAGTCTTTCAGTGGCATGATAATGTAACCATGTCCCCTCAACTCAGCTAGTAAAGTATGTGGAGACTTTTTCATTTACCTGCCCCCCAAAAAATGCAAGTTTTCATTTAATGGATTTCTTGTCCATTTTTTAGTAAATACTCATAAGTAAAACACAATTATTTTGATAGAAGTATTTCAGTGGGGTCTGGATTCCTTGTCTCTTCAGCCCATTCTTTTCCTTCCTACCTCCAGTTGGACTGTTCTGGAATTCTTAGGGCTCTTTGGAGTAATTTGAAACCCACCGACCTCACCATCTGGACCTCAACAGATGGAATACATAGAAATCAAATTGACTACATCTGCGGAAAGAGACGATGAAAAAGCTCCATATCATCAGTCAAAATAAGGCCAGGGGTAGATTGTGGAACAGACCATCAATTGTTGTTGTTGTGAAGTGCCATCAAGTAGGTTCCGACCCATAGCGACCCTGTATAGGGTTTCCGAGGAGCAGCTGGTGAGCTTGAACCGCCAACCTTGCAGTTCAAACAGCTTTGCAGTCTGGCACATTAACCCACAGTGCCACACCAGGACTCCAGACCATCAATTACTCATATGCAAATTCAAACTAAAGCTGAAGAAAATGAAAACAAGTCCATGAGAGCCAAAATATGACCTTGAATTTATCCCACCTGAATTTACAGATCATCTCAAGAACAGATTTGATAAATTAAACACTAAAGACCAAAGACCAGAAGAGTTGTGGGATGACATCAAGAACATCATACAGGAAGAAAGCAAAAAGTTATTGAGAAGACAAGAAAGAAGGAAAAGGTCAAAATGAATGTCAGAAGAGACACTGAAACTTGCTCTCCAGCGTAGAGATGCTAAAGCAAATGGATGAAATGAGGTCCAAAAGCTGAACAGAAAATTTCAAAGATCAGCTTGAGAAGATAAAGCCAAATATTACAACAAAATGTGCAAAGATCTGGAATCAGAAAACCAAAAAGGAAGAACACACTCAGCATTTCTCAAGCTGTGGGAACTGAAGAAAAAATTCAAGCCTCAACTTTCGTTATTGAAAGATTCTCTGGGCAAATTATTGAATGATGCAGAATGTATCAAGAGAAGATGGAAGGAATACACAGAGTCACTGTACCAAAAGGAAATGGTTAATGTTCAACCATTTCAAGAGGTAGCATGTGATCAAGAGCCAATGATACTGAAGGAGGAAGTCCTGTGCTTTATTGACTATCAGAGGCTTTTGATTGTGTGGATCATGACAAGCTATGGACAACATTGTGAAGTATGAGGATTCCGAAACACTTAATTGTGCTCATGAGGAATCTGTACCTGAACCAAGAAGCAGTTGTTTGAACAGAACATGGCAACATTGAATGGTTGAAATTTAAAAAAGGTGTGCGCCAAGATTGTATTCTTTCACCATACTTATTCAACCTGTATTCTTAGCAAATAATCCGAGAAGCTGGGTTCTATTAAGAAAAACATGGCATCAGTATTGGAGGGAAGACTCATTAACAACCTGTGATATGCAGATGATACAACCTTGCTTGCTGAAAGTAAAGAGGATTTATGACATTTACTGATGAAGATCAAAGAGAACAACCTTTGGTATGGATTACATCTCAATGTAAAGAAAATAAAAATCCTCATCACTGGACCAATAAACAACATTCTTATTAATGGAGAAAAGACTGAAGTTGTCAAGGACTTCATTCTTCTTGAATCAACTATCAACACTCGCAGAAGCAGCAGTCAAGAGATCAGGTGACATATTGCATTAGGCAAATCTGCTGCACAGGAACTTCTTAAAGTGTTGAAGAGCAAAGATGTCAGCTTGAGGACTAAGGTGCGCCTGACCCAAGCCACGGTATTTTCAGTAACCTCATATGCATGTGACACTGGACAGTGAATAAGGAAGACTGTAGAAGAATTGTTGCTTTTGAGTTATGGCGTTGGAGGGGAATATTGAAAGTGCCATGGGCTGCCAAAAGAACCAATAGATAGATCCATTTTGGAAGAAGTGCAGCCAAAGTGTTCCTTGGAGACCAACATGGCCAAACTTCGTCTCTCATGCTTCAGATATATTGTCAGGAGGGACAAGTTGCCGGAGAAGGATATCATGAAGGATATAAGGTGGAGGGTTAGAGAAAAAGAGGAAGACCCCCAACGAGATGGATTAGCCAAGTGGCAGCATCGATGGACTCAAGCGTGGCAGTAGTGAGGCTGGCCCAGGATCAGGCAGTGTTTCGTTGTGGTGTGTATAAGGTCGCTATGGGTCGGTACCGACTCGATGGCACCTAGCAACAACAAGAAGTGAAAAGAAAGATCCTTTAACAAGTAAGAATAACCTGAGAAGCTGAAGGAAAAAGTGAAGCAGTAAATATGGAGAAGTCTGATTTTCAGCTGATGACTTTAGTTGAAGTTTGAAATAGAAACAGAGAAGTAGCAGACAAGGGAAAGTTAAATAGCTTTTCAGAATTTACATGAATAATCCTCTCAGTTCATTTATCTTGAGTTCATTCAGAAGTTCCACAATATTACTCTTTTCAGGAAGCCTAAAAATACTTTGTAAGCAAAACAACAGACCATCCAGATAATGAAACAATAACAAAAAACCTTACACAAAGCAAAGCAAACAAAAACAGCCAAATTTAATTAGCCAAGTCAAGATTTCTTGCATCTTTCCACTAGGAAATAGAATAGCTACATCTTTACTTAGCTGTATTATAGTTTACATTTACTTGCATGTCCAGTTTTCTCCCATACCCTTTATATAATGTCCCTATGTAGAGTCCTGGTGTGCCACTGTGGGTTAATGCGCCAAACAGAATGCCATTTAAACTGCAGGGTTGGCAGCTCACGCTCACCAGCCACTCCTCAGAAACCCTATACAGGGTCGCTATGGGTCAGAACCGACTCGATTGCACTTAACAACAACATGTAGCACGAATGATTTGTACTTATTGCCAGAACATTGCTATTCTAGAAAATTTTAAATTGAACAATGAAGTAAGAAAAATACATGCACTTCCAAAGGAGATCCTGGAGATAGATTGAGTATGACCATTCATTTAGTCAAAATGTGTATGTCGATTACCTGCCTCAGCCAGCCCCTTGTTAGGAACTGAGGATGAGTGGTCCCTAAATACATATTCAACCCTGAAGAAACTTGCAGCCTAATATAAATATTTTCTCTTGATTCATATTTCTAATTTATGAAATTGCCTTATTATAGTGACCTAATGCTCTTCTGCTTTTGGTTTTCATGTGTGACTTTGTATTTCTTATAGAAAATGATACTGAAACACAACAATTTACATCTTTTAAAGTGGGCTTCTCCTGCAACGCAGCATTGAACATCGCATTTACCACTGGGATTCAAATATGAATTCACAGGATAATTTTTCTTTACCTTCTAATACCAGATTTAAAATTTATTCTATAAATATTTCTAACATGATTTAACTAAATGAGTTGCCCCCTACCTACCAGTAGCAGTTTTTAGGCAGGATTTAGAAATTCTTCACATAGTCTTGCTTTACATTTGTTTCCTTCTTTTTACTTGGCAATAAAATGTTGGAGCTAGGTTAATGGTACTGTGAAAATTTAGTAAATGCAGTAACAAAGAGAGCCAGTTGGTATTCCTGTGCGTTATTGATTTTCTGTATGATGCTTCATGGAGTCTTTGAAGGTTGTAACATAAAGATGTGTTGGTTGCAGGTTATTGACCCGGTGGCTCCCCGCTATGTTGCATTACTGAGGAAAGAAGTGATCCCAGTGAATATTCCTGAAGCTCAAGAGGAAATGAAAGAAGTTGCCAAACACCCAAAGGTCATCCTAGAGTTTCACTCATTTTTTTCCCCCTATACTCTGGTAGCGTAGTGGTTACGA